ATTAAGGTAGAGTCGGAGATACGTTTAGGATATAAATACAAAGGTTAAATGACTTGTGATTTGGGGCGCTGGACGAGGTTTAGTGTTTGAACATGTTCAGGAGTAATGCTGAAGGGGTGGTGTCTTAGCCTATTGGTTAAAGCGTTGGCTAATAACCCGAAGGCTCGGGTTCGATTCCCCCCACAAACTGTAGGTACAACGTGTGAAACTAATACATGGTCTCCGCTGTGTTGTTGCTGAAATATTGCCAGAACAGGCGTAAAACCCACCTCACAATATTGAACGCTGAAACGCTTTGCTGCTAGAGAAAGACAGTGTCAAGTTGGTTTTCAAGAACTGTTTCCAACATACAACAGGACGTGCAACACTGTGGACAGCGCGAAGAAAGGACAATCACGCAACAAGACAATTTACTGCTTCCCCAGACAGTGCAGACACAGTACCGCCTTACATGAAATGTCAATTGGATCATTCGTGGGAGAGGCCTTGGTCAATATGATCATGGCCAATGGAAGGGGATGGCTGCAGGAGCGTGTCTCTCACTCAGGTGGGCTGTTCCATGTCACACAAGACATGACACAAGAAGCAGCTTTAAAGGTTCATGGCATCCCGAGGGAAATATGTGTTTGACACATGTTCAGTGTACAGGATGATGAGTTTAGTTTTGCATGGATTTGACTAAACTTTGACATTTGGTGACATTTGTTCTTACCGTTGGAGATACGCATGTGATACTGCAGGAGAGGATTTATCGGTCAGATTATACTGTCGTAGTCACAGCTTACACCAATGCCCGGCCTCGTCAAATGACCACGATTCCATGTACAATATCGTGATGCTGTAGAATACAGAACATCACATAAAGTAACCTTATCGCCAGTGGCAGGTAGCAACCAGATATTGATTATCTCAATATTTTTTGTTTTTCATAGCAGACACCTTGGCGGCCGTCTCAAACGATTTAAACAGGGGAAATAATAAATAATTTCCATCAAAAGTTCACAGTGTTTTGTGGTCAGGTAGATCATTAATACAAAGCGAGTTTTGAAACAGCATGTTGTATAACGCACCTAGGATATGACATGCGTCAACCAGGTCACCGAGCCTGATCACCCGATCCCGTCAGCTGCCTCTAATACATGTAAGCGTAGTTGCTGAAGCCCAATTCTAACCCGGATTTTCACAAGGTAGATATTTGTGCGATATGTGATGTGTTTTGTTAACATAATACATTGGGCGTTTACAATATTACTGGGGATGTTCTTAGTTACTTTATTGACATATTGAATATATATCTACAGTATATGCTTTCAATGTGTCCTGACTGACTTATTTACACCACAAGCGACTCGCCAGTTTGTTGTCTGTTTGAACTTGCTGGGTGGTTCGGTCATGACACACGTACATTACACACGTACATTACACACGTACATTACACATGTACATTACACACGTACATTACACACGTACATTACACATGTACATTACATGCGTACATTACAAGGGTACATTACACATGCATATTACACACGTACATTGCACACGTACATTACACACGTACATTACACACGTACATTACACACGTACATTACACACGCACATTACACACGTACATTACACGCGTACATTTCACACGTACAATACACACGTACATTACATGCGTACATTCCACACGTACATTACACACGTACATTACACATGTACATTACACACGTACATTACACACGTACATTACACATGTACATTACACACGTTCATTACACACGTACATTACACACGTACATTACACGTTCATTTCACACGTACATTACACAGGTACATTACATATGTATATTACACACGTACATTACACACGTACATTACACATGTACATTACACGCGTACATTACACGCGTTCATTACACGCGTACATTACGCATGTACATGTATATTATACACGTACATTACACAGGTACATCACACGCGTACATTACACACGAAATTACACACGTACATTACACACGTACATTACACACGAAATTACACGCGTACATTACACACGTACATTACACTCGTACATTACACACGTACATTACACTCGTACATTACACACGTACATTACACACGTACATTACACACGTACATTACACACGTACATTACACTCGTACATTACACACGTACATTACACACGTACATTACACTCGTACATTACACACGTACATTACACACGTACATTACACTCGTACATTACACTCGTACATTACACACGAAATTACACGCGTACATTACACACGTACATTACACGCGTACTTTACACACGTACATTACACACGTACATTACACACGTACATTACACGCGTACATTACATTCGTACATTACACACGTATATTACACACGTACATTACACACGTACATTTCACACGTACACGTACATTAAACGCGTAGATTACACACGTACATTTCACACGTACATTACACATGTGTATTACACACGTACATTTCACAAGTACTTTACACACGTACATTACACACGTACATTACATACGTACATTACACACGCGCATTACACCCGTACATGTACATTACATACGTACATTACACACGTACATTACACACGTACATTACACATGCACATTACGTATGTACATTACGCACGTACATTACGCACGTATATTACAAACGTACATTACAAACGTACATTACAAACGTACATTACACACATGCATTACAAACGTACATTACAAACGTACATTACACATGTGCATCGCGTGGCTGACACTAATTGATGTGGTCTGAATAAGGTATCATGAGAATCCCCCTTTGTTGTTTGAAAGCCGCTATAAAGTGTTGATTTGATCGATAGTTACAGTAACATGTAACAGTATTTGTCAAAAATATGCTATTATCTTTATTGTTGGTGCTTGTGGCGGGATGCTGGTGGACTGCATGAAAGTTACATTTGGCATCTTGGGATACATCCCAAATTATATATTTTGTAGGATAGGCTTGCCCGCTTTACAACAGGAACCAATTTTATCCATTCTGCTTTACAGCGGATGGTCAGCTTGGCACACCAACAATAGTTGCCCTCGCTCAATATTTGGCAATAGTTCTTGCCTGGTAGAACTAGCTGCAGAGCAACATGGGTCGCTTGGCAACGGTAGTTGCTGGGCAGCGGTCGCTGCACTGGTGAGTGACATGGGCTGCTTGGCAACTGTTGTTGGAGGGCTGCGGTTGCTTGACAGGGACAGGCTCATTTTCTGCATTCCACCAGTTCTTCATCATTCATCCAAATAACATCTCTCGTCTTAATTCCGCTGTCACGCAGGATGGCGGAACCCGGCCTCATGGCGTCATGTTCTTATAGAATATGCTACTATCTTGATGTTCGGCATAATGCACCGGTTTTAACTATTTATTCTTACAATAGACGTTTTAGAATGTTTTCCTACTCTAGGACATTTAAAAAAACACGCATCAGTGACAAACACTATGTCCGATGCAATTCCCTTCTTTTGACTTGAGGGGCGGTCGGGTAGCCTAGTGGTTAAAGCGGGAAGACCCGGGTTCGATTCCCGACATGGGTACAATGTGTGAAGCCCATTTCTGGTGCCCCCGCCATGATATTGCTGGAATATTGCTAAAGGCGGCGTAAAATCTCAGTCACTCACTCACTCTTTTGACTTGTACCACATGCTCCCGGCGAGTTTTTTCAGGTGATTAATTTACTTGCTTTGCGTCTATTGGTGACGGGTGCAACCCGGGGTGGTGACTGGGGGAGCATGAGACGCTCGCCTTGTCGTGAACACTTGTTATCATCACTATTTGATAGCGATTCAAAAACACATGCTCATGATATAGTCGGAATCGTACGGTCGGCTCTTTCGACACAATCGAGCTTTCTTGTAGCTTTGGAGAGGGTTATGGGGCGAAGTACTTTTGTAAGGCATATTTACTTCAATTGATATAGAGACATGCGTCTTAGCTGTAACTATTGCTAAAATTACAAATAATATATCGTAATGTATGTTGGATAAATGAATATTGTTATCCATATCCTAATTTGCTGGCAATAGTTATTAAGGGACGAGGGGCGGTGGGGTAGTCTTGTGGGTAAACCGTTATTAGTTAATATTAAAAAAGATATCACAAAATGATCCACCATTGTCGGAATTCAAGAATGTGATACGAATACTATCAAACAAAAGCGACAAAACCCTTCCCATAGCAACAGAGCACCTGCTAAAAGCAGAGTCGATTTACGATTCCGACTGTGTCATGAGCGTGGCAACCGTCACAAACACATGCAAAGGCAAACCAATTGTTTACCCAAAACAGTTTCAACAAAAACAGGCCAACTTTGTGTTATGTGGTATTCAATTTTCATTTTTTTAAATAAATTAGCCCTTTTGTTGCTTAGGAATCAAATAAAGGTTCCAATATGCCTGATATTCTATGTGGTAATGACGGGATGCAGGACGATTCTTTCATATTACTATATGCCATGAGTAAGTGAGTGAGTATGGTGTTACGTCGCTTTCAGCAATATTCCAGCAATATCACGGTTGGGGACACCAGAAATGGACTTCACACATTGTACCCATGTCGGGAATCAAACCCGGGTCTTCGGCGTGACGAGCGAAACTATATGCCATGATAGATTAACCATTGTAATAGTATAGAAAAAAGTTAAGGACCACCCGATTCGTTCATATTACTATACGCCATGACAGATTAACTATAGTAATAGTATAGTAGAATCGGGGGTTCTTTTGAGTAGCACATTTGTTAGAATGCGGTTCATGCGATGGGAGATCTGCACCTTCTCTCTTGAATGGGATATTTGAGAATGTTGACTTGATTTAATGCCACGTTCACCAATAGTTCCGCTTCATCGCGTCAGATAACATCAAGAGTGATATTTACACATAACAGTCATGCGGGGGTCGAACCCGGTTTGACGAGCGAACCCTTTAACCACGCCACTACCCTCCTCATATAGAATACAGAGTCAATGTGTGCATATGTGAATATACTTTACATCTTTTTCGGTATTTTACGACAGAGTTAAATTTCTACAAAATCGTTCACGTCTCTCTTGCCAGTTTGAAGGGAATCACACCGGCCGTTGTGTATGGTCAGATCGTCCACGGCGATGTCGCTTCTGTAGCTGGCACCGGTGTCGCCCTCAATCTCAAGCTGAAATAAAACATATTCCACAATGATTAGCTCAAAGTGATGTTCCCCTTCCCAACCGCAGAACAGTTAAATCCTATTATTCCTTAAATGTAAAATTTACAAGTAGGTCAAATGAAACACTTATTATAGACAAAAGCGTGTGCACTGAGAATGAAAGTGGGTCATACCTAAACGATTACATATAGCTACGTATGATAGGTATTATTTGCACGAGACCAGCCATGTTATAAAGTCAGCAAAACACAAAATATAATGAGTGAGTGAGTGAGTTGGGTTTAACGCCGCTTTTAACAGTATTGCAGTTATATCACGGCGTGTCAGCTTAATGTGGGGGGAAAGCCCGAAGTGATGCAGGTCTCAGACGTTTACCACTTCGGTGAAACCCACGAGCACGGGTATGGTGCTGACAAACCTAGAAACATAATCGGGGCGAACCAGGATTCGAACCCACAATCATAGGTTTCTGGCGTGCCAAAGGGACGCAACTCTGCACAGCGAATCGCGGCGCCTTAGACGACTTGGCCACCCGTGCCCCCCACAATATAATGAAAATATTAAACAAGACAATACAAAAGAGATATTGAGAGTATTTCATTGTGTCATCTCCAGAACAAGGTGAACTGCTGCAATACCTAATATACTGAACCGCAAAAGAAACGTCACCATGGATAGAGATATGAGAAACCTTATTTGTCCAAACACTGTAAACATACTTTGAGAAAGTACAACTTGGTGAAACTTAGCAAAACTGATCATCAAGGTTGAAATTAAAGTGTCAAATGTTCTTAAAGTGAAACACAACACTAGACTCTGAGAAAATAGCATCACAAGTCAGTAGCTCGTGTGTCCGCCATATGCATTGTGGACTGCCGTGCGACGTCGATACATGGAATGGATGAGGTGGTTGATGAAGGCCATAGGCACTTGAGCCCACACTCGGAGGAACGCCTGGCGCAGTTCAGCTGCAGTTGTCGGCCTTGGTCGGACGTCATTCAGCCGTCTTTGAATCTCATCCCATAGGTGCTCAATGGGATTTAAACCGGGACTGAGGGCAAGCCACTGCATGGCTCTGATGCCATTCTGCTGGAGGAAGTCTCTCGTTGCCCTCGCAGTGTGGGCACGGGCGTTATCATGCTGAAACTCGTGGTTGCGGCGACGTGCCAAATGAGGTATGGCGTGCGCTTTCAAGACTTGATCAATGTACCGACCTCATGACACCATTGCCTCTCCCTGGACCGATGCTCTGGAAGACCACAGGGCCGACCCTCTGTGCAAGACCAATTCCACCCCACACCATGATGCTCGGACCATCCCACGAGTCTCTCTCAACAACACAAGCATCCGAATAACGTTCCCCACGGCGTCGTCATACTCTCTCTCTCTCTCTCTCTCTCTCTCTCTCTCTCTCTCTCTCTCTCTCTCTCTCTCTCTCTGCCACCTGCTGTTTATATACAGTAACGGCTCTCGTCTGAGATGACTCTTCTCCACTGCTGGTGGCGCTGTGTTGCCCATTGAAATGCACTGGCTACTTGCCGGACGGTTTGTCCAGCTTGCAATTGTCCAAGGGCTTGGTGTCGCTGATTTCTTGTCAATCTTGGCATGTGGTAGCAATTCAATACCGAATGAATGTTATCCGATCTGGGTGGATTTTTATAGAGCAAGAAATGGGGGAACGCATGTGCATTTCAATTTGCAAGGAACTCACGTGCATCGGGATACCATGGCCGTTGCCGTGATGCGTTTGGGAGATCGGGGTTTTTTTGTCATCTACTTTGTTTTTTATCATCAAATTTAATTTTTCCGGACAAGGTTATGTTTAATTTTAGAAACCTTGACAAAAATTACTCAGATATTTAAAAGACAACTTTTCATGCAATGTTACATGGGGAGACGTTTCTTTTGCGGTTCAGTGTATATGAACGACAGTCAAAACCTTATCAGTCTGAGGCAAATGGCCTCACTGTGGACAGCATTTCAGTTACAAGGCATGTCAGAGCAATGTCTGAGGATCTCACAAATATTTCACAGCTCCTGTAAAATATCGTCCAACTATACCTGGAAGTTGCCCGTGGTGTGAATATTGAGGAGGTAGTGTTTCCACACGTTGCCCTGATCACCAGACATGGAATGGATTACATGTCTGCTGGTACCACCAGTGATAGCTTCTATCTTCAGACTGCCCATGTCGTGTCCGTACATGTGATAGTAAATGCTGAGACAGTAGTCCCCCCCGGGCAATGTCTTGGACAGGAGATAAGCCTTCTGGTGGTAGTGGCCAGATGCTTCCAAGTAGGCGTAGTATCCTGCAGAAAAAGTAACATTGACATTCCACCTCGACGCCTACATGTAACTCGACTTCTGGACAGGACCATTTTAATAGGAAAGGGTTGGTTCTATGTAGAGTGAGTGAGTGAGTATGGTTTTACGCCGCTTTTAGCAATATCCCAGCAATATCACGGCGGGGGACACCAGAAATGGGCTTCACACATTGTACTCATGTCGGGAATCGAACCCGGGTCTTCGGCGTGACAAGCGAACGCATTAATCACTAGGCTACCCAACCGCCCCGGTGCTATGTAGAGGTTATACTGAATAGAAGAACAGCTAAAAATGCTGCCCTGCTTAATTAGAAGGCAGTGTACACTGATTAGAAGGCAGTGTACATGATTTCGGATAACATGTTTAAAAATAATATTTCTCTGCTGTTACATTGATGTGCCTTCTTTTGAAGTAAAAAAATAATTTTGCAAATTGGAATCACAGGAGGATGTGATGATGTCATTAAGTTACAGGACCAAAGATGCTATTTGGTGTCTTCCTCACCTGACGCTGACCCGGAGTGATCGGTAGTGGGTCCTGTACCAACACTAGGTGTTGCGCCACGATGACGAAGCCAGTTGGTATTGTCACCGCCAGGGTTTGTCCAGCCACAGAAGCCGGTACTGAAGGTGCACGTCTCAGCAGCTGTATAAAGTCGACGATGAGTCACTGATGACAACCGTTTTGCCCTAACATGGCACTTATTCTTAGGGACATGTCGGAAATGCGTAACGATGTCGTCACTGGGCGTTTTCGACATGGCTGGCACCACACGCCTGTCTTAACAATCAAGCAAGGTAGCATGTTGCCTTCAGCGTTCGCGTCCTTGTAATTATTCTAAAGAACAAGATGATTCTATTCATGAACGTGTAAGATCTTTATTTTACTTGGATTGATTCTTTTTAGAGTAGGTCATCACTGATTTTCAGTGATCCTTTCGTATCATTTTCACCACTTTTCAACCTTTTGTGCCCAATGGAATCTGTTTTATCAGATCATCGAGAGTCTGACATATCAAAACCTCAAATCCTCAGAGTTCTCTGATATTACTTTGAAGATATTCAGCATAAATACTTTAATTTAACGCTTAATGAGTCTTATGTTACAATAGGTTTGATATTTCTTGGTGCATTAAGAAGAATGACGATTTATTTGAATAATCCTAATTCTCTTACCAATTGATGGTGATACTGTAGCGGCTGAAGCATAAAGAAACAAGATGTATATATCAAGATGTGTTACAATAAATATACTTAAGAGATTGGCATAATTTTGGAATAAATATAATGAAATTGCAAATCATAAATCAGGTCTGTATATCAACGTTTCCTATTACACTATGCACTATGATCAGTCAGTCTTCCGAATACAAACTGTGGTTCGATCCCCTGGTCGCGTCATACCAAGACAATTTAAAATATGGTACTTGCTGTTACCCTGCCTTGTGCTCTCCATTAAAGGGATAATACAAGGACTAGTCGGCGCGGAGTCAGTATACCGTGTCTCAATTGGGTATCCATGTTAAACTGCGGTATTGTATCTCAGTGCATTGCTACAAAAACAAAACCCGCATAAGTCGTTATATATGAGCAATAATCTTGAACATGACGTTACTCTCTATTTCCCACAACTCACCGCCTGAATAACGGATATAAAAGTCAAGAATTATACTTAACATTTATTTTGAAATTGATAGTGATTGTTTATGTTGTATTCAACGAGATCACTACAAATATAGGTCTTTGAAAGGCATTTAGAAGTGATACACATAAGGAAGAGAATTTATGGATGTCAACTTCTTTATTATGAGGAACACAGCGTTTCGGAGTATGTGCTTACTCCTTCATCAGGTGATGAAGGATGATAAAGGGAGTAAGCATATCCTGATGAAGGAGTAAGCATATACTCCGAAACGTTGTGTTTCTCATGACAAAGAAGTTGACATCCATAAATTCTCTTCACTAATACAAATATAATTCACTATTATAGTGTAATAAAATCAACACCCTATTTGATAGGGTATAGTGGTAAATGAAGAGCGTGTATTCCTTTGTGGCCGTGAAAAGTCAGACAACGACAGAGAAATCACCAGATAATCGTCGTCATAAGTGGTGTCTCCAACCAACAATGTTTGTTGTTTACCACAGCAGTCAGCACCATTCCAGCTGTACCACAACGGCTTGTACATAATCACGCGATGGGCCTGACCGGTGGATGACCGCATCGGCAACGACCATGACCCATCCAACACGGTACGATGACACCCAATACACACGTCATCGCGCCTTACAAGAGTGAGGTTATGATGACCTATTACAGTAAATTACGGTTATAACGAATACGCTTATAACGAACTGACGGATACAACGAACTTACTTTTTGGTCCCGACTATTTGCTGTAGGTTTGCTGTATATATGCTTATAACGAACTACGGATATAACGAACTGAAATTAGTAGTCCCTTTGAGTTCGTTATAACCGTAGTTAACTGTAATTTGAACAGGAGTGCAAACGGATAAATATAAATATATATTACACCATACCAAACTGCAGGTGGAGCAAAAATGTCATTGTTTGTGGCCCATTGCTCTATTTCAATCATTAGTTAGGTGTCAACTTGACACGTGAACCCTAAAAAGTTTTTCTTACGAGCTGGCGTCGAGACGGAGCCATGTTGAGCCAAACAACCATAGTACGTCTGGATCTCCTTGATGTCAAAAGGACTCAGGTGAGTTCTCTGTCCAATGACTGCTCCCTTCTGCTTGACAAGAATGGTTGGCTTCCTGCGGTCGACGGCGAAGCTGTAGGCGTTGTAGTGCATGACGGACTCGTAGTCGTACTGGAGTCCAAGAGTGTCAACCTGTGTGGTGGTGTACTTGTCGAAGTTGTGCTCACGTCCTACGTAAATAAGTGAAAAGGGTAGGCACTTTGTTAAAGATTCCATGTTAGGCCATGGGGAAAGGACCAGGGCCCACTTGCGCAAAGCCATTTCGTAAGCCTATGTTAAAGTATGGAAAGTTACGATCATCTTAGCGCTAAGATCGCTTTGTGCAAATGGGCCCAGTACGTTAAGATAATCATATATTCATGTTAATGTAACTAAATAAAGCAGAAACAGATGAGACATTGAATGAAGCGTTCCTACACATTGTTGCTACACATGTAACAATCAAGAATAAGCGTGAATAGTTACAAGAAAACAATTCAGCACAGTTCCATATTGTACTGAAAGGAGGCTTGTTCTCGACCGTAGTCACAATAAAACATTTTCAAAATGCACAGTTAAACAGTTTCCTCATACTGGTACATATTGATTTGTGCTTATGTTCTTCAATCAGAGATGGGAAACATTTCTTTTAATGTCGAACCATTTCCGGAATATTTCTACCTGTGTTGTCAATTCAATTCAGTGGTTTATTGTTATTGTTGGCCCATATGCAAGTGAGTTACATACACACGTACATACAGTTATAATAACAAATATTGTAGTATAAGAGGTGAGGTGAAATTGGGTTTAACGTCGCGTCCAAGATTATTGCACTTATATAGCGACGTGCATGCACGTGTATGTGTGTGTGTGGCTGCTTGTACTAGTCCGGACTGATGCCGATTTATAGTGCTAGCTCACTGAGATACCCTGCCGCAGTTTAACATGAATACCCCACTCAGACACAGTATACTGACTCCGAGCCGACCAGTCCTTGTTTTAGCCCCTTAATGCCGAGCGCCAGACAGGGTAACAACAAGTACAATCTTTTAACGTCTGTTTGTATGACGCGGCCCGGGATCGAACCCTGGACCTTCCGCTCTCCGGGCGGACGCTCTACCACAAGACCACGGAGGCGGTCTGTAGTATAAGAAATATCAAGATGACAACAACTGACGTAACATAAAACCATGATGAATGTATAAAGATACGTATAGTTGTATGTTATATTTTTGTTTAACAGCGGACATATAAAGTTATTAGTAGATATACTTGAAATGACCAGGCTGGTAAATATTCAATTTTTTATTTTGTAATATACAGGTAAAATAAACATAAAATAAAATTCTTCAACACCAAGGGTCCAGACGGGGCAAATTCTTAGGGATTTTTCAATATTAATGTCCTCCTTTACTCTAACTATTTTAGATCATTTAGACCAAGTCTAAAACGTATAAAGGTATTGCGGAGGTTTTGAATCTAAAATTAAAAGATACGACTTAAAAGATGACGAGTGAATAAAGGATAGTTCTCATTGTTCTACATGTGGTTGGTAGGGTGAGTTCTTCAGCTGTAAAGTAACGGTTGCTATATATCTCAGAGAATAACGTTATATCTTTTAATTTTGGGCATTGTCACACATCCCAGAGCAGTATAACACACAGTGACCTACTTAGTTTTTCATATTTAGCTCTGGGTAAGTTTAATTCGTTAGGATATTATAAATATCTATCTCTGAATATTTACATACAGACCAGAGGACATCCATGCATGTTAAATGAGACTAGGATCGGCCTAATTAGCAGGTCCAGACAATTTGATCTATATCCTTCCAACACCTATTTTGTTTGTTTGCTTGTTAAACTTTATGATTTGTATCAATCTACAAGTTACCGTCCAGCCTGTTAACACAGACACACTGTTAACCTTACACTTCTAACCTGTTACAATGTCTAGAACAAGGCAGACCATGGAGAATATCCCCCTCCATCTCGTCGACCATAATCATTTACTTACCACACATTTCCCGCCATCGAGTGGAAAATATAAGCGACAAAAAACATTTACATAAACGTAACAATATTTGCTCAAGATTTCGACTATATCATGAGCATGTGTTTATGGAGTACTATCAAATAGTGATGACACTAGGTGATCGCGAAAAGATGCGTATCCTGCTCCGGTGGCACCGATTACAAACACATGCAAAAGCAAGTCATGTGTGAGAGCAGATCGAATTGACATTAAGTAAAGACACGGAAGCAAGTACACCTGAACAGCATCGTTCTTTACAACGGATCAACTGCACCGATATCACCTTGCATAGTGTTATATAAGAAGTCATTTACCTTGCTGGATGTTGCTCCACTCAATAGTGACGTAGCTGTCTCTGTCGGGACGACTCTGCTCGTGCCAGAAGCCCATGGCGTGCATTGTCTCGTGCATGATGGTGCCGATTCTGCCACACCCAACTCCAAGGGTGATAGCTGACTGTCCATGATGATATCCTACTGGTGTGTGACATCTGCAACATTAACACAGTATGGATGTAGATGATCCAGTATATTTGGTTTAAGAGATGGCTTCAGTTTCTCGAAGGTTACTGTCAGTTCCACAATAACAAAAATGAACAAGGAAATAGTCAAGGGTTCATTCCCTTGTTTCCTTTACCTGTTCACTAAACTTTACACAGTAAATATTACCCACTTCATATGAGCCGTTTATAATCGCTAATTGTGAATGACCGACCTATCGCACCTATTCCAACTTAGTTAGTTGAACCTTTTTTAAATGCATGTACAAACATGTAAAACAAAATAAAAAAACAAACACAATAGCATTAAAATCATCGTTATGTATTTTATGTACCATCTGATATTCTGAGAAGTATTCCCTGATGTCATCCACCCTCAGAATATTAATCCACATTAATCCACAGAATTACTTTGTGGATCCATCTGGCAAAATGTGCCGAAAGTATTTTAGCGTAGCCGACCTACCCAGATCCACCAACATAATGAATGTAGGCAGCTTCATTCGTGCGTTTTTTGAATGTGATGCAGGGTTTGCCATTCACCATCGTCTTGTCGTGCAAGGTCTGCATCGCTTGATTGATGGTACTCTGCTCAGAAGCAGCTGGAAGTGAATTTCATGTTCAGATCGATTATTTTCGTATATCGTATGCTGTTAGTGAGCGCGTGAGTTGGGCTGAACGCCACATTGAAAGTACATGTGTTCCAGTTACATACGAGGAACTATATTCAAGGGAACCCCTGTCATTTCAGCCACAAGAATGAAATGACAATCTTTGTTGCACGAGACACAGTTACTAAGCTCGGAGAACAAACTCGCTCAAACCTTGCACATTGCACATGTATAGCATGCCGTCTATGGGGACACATCCTGGTAATTGGCATGTGGTAATAAATGTCACAACCACATGGCGCATTGATCGGGCACAAAGAAGGAAAATTACCCAAAAAGTGGACATGACAGAAAATGAAAGAAATGAGCCCAATAGGTAAGACTGAAGCTGGCCAATCACAGAATGATGACTGATGAAACGATATCGGCAAACGGGTGGGCTTAGGAATAGAATGGGTAGAGAGAGAGAGGACTCCCAGGCAGGTTCGATATATACGCTCCAATGCTCTGAGGAACAGATCCATTTCTGCACCAGCACTGAGGGACAGCTTCGGGGTTGACACAGGAATCCGACGTCAGCGATAAGAAACAGGTTGAAAACTGCGGGTCTGAAATCAAGACGTCCCTCCAGAAGAATACGTCTACCTGTGGCACACATGCGTCTCACATAGCAGTGGGTACAGCAGTTTGGAGTTCGTCCACAGAGGCATTGGAGATACACCATGTTTTCTGATGAGTCGAGGTTCTGTGTACGCTTTACAGATGGTAGACAACGTGTTCGGAGACAGCTTGGAGTGAGGAACTTTCCGACAGCAGTCCAAGAGCATGTCATTGATAGATATGGTAGTGGCAGCATCTTGGTCTGGACTGGCACAACATACAACAGGACGGATTTGAGGTCGTGCAAGGAAACATGACCGGTGAACATTATGTGGACCAAATGTTACGTCCAGTGGACATCTCATTTGCCCAGCATGTAGGTCAGAACTTTCCGTTCCAGGATGACAATGCACGTCCTCACAGACCTCGTGTTGCAGTCGACTGTCTGAGGCAGAAAGGTGTCACAACATTGCCTTCGCCAGCCAAATCTCAGGACTTGTCACCAATGAACACCTTTGGGATGCTCTGGGACGAAGGGTTCGCAACCGACCTCAGTGTTCCCAGAATTTGCAAAAGCTTGAGTGGACCTAACGAGAAGAATGGCGACAGATATCACGCGTTTGATATCCAATATGCCTAGAAGGTGTGTCTGCATCGATGCTCATGGGGCATGGACCAGATATTGACTTTACTGTGGAGATTGATTTCCACAACGTCATTTCTTTACACATCATTCCTGAAAAAAAGTGGGTGTTCCCTGAAATATTATTTCTAGTATATAATGGCGCGTCAGGTTAATGTCGAAATAAAGTCCAAAGTCATGCTGGTCTCTGACGTTTTACACTTCGCTGAAACCTATAAGCATGGGTATGGTGTTGACAAGCCAATTAAATTAATCAGGGCGATGCGGGATCCGGGATCCGAACCCACGATCATAAGTGTCTGGAACGCCTAAGTGACGCATCATGTTAGGCGTATAAGACGCCTGGGAAGTATGTGCCCCCAAGTAAGCAAATGTGAGGACAAATATGGGGATGAAAACGTGAGTTAACGTGTAAAACGTGGGATAAACCGGAGATTGACCCCTGGCATTTATCCTCAGAAGGTGCCTATTTGAAACCTCTGACATTTTCGAAATCGAAATATTATACGCTTTCTCTTTTGGTTTGACTGAATGACATTACGATAAATTACAAGACTTTGGAAATATATAAGGTCAGGAAGTACTCAGTGTCGATTTTCTGAGAAACAGGTACATTCTGGTATTAAAGGCAAAAATAGTGATGAAAATGATATGAAAAGATCACTGAATATCGATTGCTATCTTGATCTGTATAACCTTTTTTAATTGATTCGAACCTAAGAAAACCTATACTTACAGAAGTGGTTGGTGTCAATGACGTAGGGAAACACTCCGTTCGGCCATCTGTAATTTCTATTCCTCTGGGCATTTCGGTCCTAAAGAATGACACTTATCATAATTAGATCCAGAGTTGAAATTCGAATCTGTTCACATCCGTTTTTCATTAAACTCATATTCGCTGTTTGATAGAAATACGGTATTCGTAGAGTGGAAATAACGTTTTATTCACATTTCACGCAATGCAAAACTACTCTTGACATAATGCTGCTTCAACTGTTGTAACTCCTATGTTTACCATGGTTAACGGCAGTCGTATTAAAAGTTATTTAAAACTTATTTACTTTTGTTTGTTTGTTTGTTGTTTAACGCTGAGCTCAGCAATATTCCAGCTCTATGACGGCGGTCAGTAAATAATCGAGTCTGGACCAGACAATTGACATGCAATTGGGATACGATGACATGCAACAACAAAATCAGCGAGCCTGACCACCCGATCCCGTTAGTCGCCTTTTACGGCAAGCATGGGTGTCGGAAGACCAATTCTAACACGGATGTTCTGAACATAACTTATTCTATGAAATCTTCAACTAAGTGACGGTATTGGCTGTACATAAGATAATCCATGAAACCATCGACTATGTGGCGGTATTGGCTGTACATAAGATAATCTATGAGATCATCGACTGTGTGACGGTATTTGCTGTACATAAGATAATCTATGAAATCATCGACTATGTGGCGGTATTGGCTGTACATAAGATAATCCATGAAATCATCGACTATGTGACGGTATTGGCTGTACATAAGATAATCTATGACATCATCGACTATGTGACGGTATTGGCTGTACATAAGATAATCTATAAAAGCATCGACCATGTGGCGGTATTGGCTGTACATAAGATAATCTATGAAATCATCGACTATGTGGCGGTATTGGCTGTACATAAGATAATCTATAAAAGCATCGACCATGTGGCGGTATTGGCTGTACATAAGATAATCTATGAAATCATCGACTATGTGGCGGTATTGGCTGTACATAAGATAATCTATGAAATCATCGACTATGTGGCGGTATTGGCTGTACATAAGATAATCTATGAAATCATGTAGTATGTGACGGTATTGGCTGTACATAAGATAATCTATGAAATCATCGACTATGTGGCGGTATTGGCTGTACATAAGCTAATCCATGAAATCATCGACTATGTGACGGTATTGGCTGTACATAAGATAATCTATGACATCATCGACTATGTGGCGGTATTGGCTGTACATAAGATAATCTATGAAATCATGTAGTATGTGACGGTATTGGCTGTACATAAGATAATCTATGAAATCATCGACTATGTGGCGGTATTGGCTGTACATAAGCTAATCCATGAAATCATCGACTATGTGACGGTATTGGCTGTACATAAGATAATCTATAAAATCATCGACTATGTGGCGGTATTGGCAGAACATAAGATAATCTATGAAATCATCGACTATGTGGCGGTATTGGCTGTACATAAGATAATCTATGAAATCATCGACTATGTGGCGGTATTGGCTGTACATAAGATAATCTATAAAAGCATCGACTATGTGGCGGTATTGGCTGTACATAAGATAATCTATGAAATCATCGACTATGTGACGGTATTGGCTGTACATAAGATAATCCATGAAATCATCGACTATGTGACGGTATTGGCTGTACATAAGATAATCTATGACATCATCGACTATGTGGCGGTATTGGCTGTACATCACTTATTCTCTGAAACCTTCAACTACGTGACGGTATTGGCTGTACATAAGATAATCTATGAAATCATGTAGTACGTGACGGTATTGGCTGTACATAAGCTTATCCATGAAATCATGAAGTACGTGACGGTATTGGCTGTACATAAGATAATCTATGAAATCATGTAGTATGTGACGGTATTGGCTGTACATAAGATAATCTATGAAATCATGTAGTATGTGACGGTATTGGCTGTACATAAGATAATCTATGAAATCATCGACTATGTGACGGTATTGGCTGTACATAAGCTTATCCATGAAATCATGAAGTACGTGACGGTATTGGCTGTACATAAGCTAATCTATGTAATCATGTAGTACGTGACGGTATTGGCTGTACATAAGCTTATCCATAAAATCATGAAGTACGTGACGGTATTGGCTGTACATAAGCATATCTATGAAATCGTGAAGTGCGTGACGGTATTGGCTGTACATAAGCATATCTATGAAATCGTGAAGTACGTGACGGTATTGGCTGTACATAAGCTAATCTATGTAATCATGTAGTACGTGACGGTATTGGCTGTACATAAGCATATCTATAAAATCATGAAGTACGTGACGGTATTGGCTGTACATAAGCATATCTATGAAATCGTGAAGTACGTGACGGTATTGGCTCCAGATAACTTACCCTGGGGTCATCGCCTGGTCTCAGTTCAATGTCCCCCTCGAAATATTCTGCAATAAATCAAACATTTATAATATTACAAGGAAACTCTGCAGCCAAGATGTTTGATTACATTTAACTTCATGTGTTTACATAGTGACATGGGTTTACCTTACATTTTGACTAATTAAAATCAGTCATGTTGATATACGAACCATTACAAAATTGTTTTAATCATGTTGATGGTGCGATTGACAGTACATTGATATACTTAACATACCAGCATTCTCTTCTGGGTAGGCTTCTGAAATATAATGAAACATTCGTCTACAAAAGTACCTGCAAAAAATACGACCCTAAAGGAACTACAGCGATGTATAATAGAATAAACATAATTAGTATTTGATGTGAATGTGTATTACTCTTAGCATCAAAAAAAGGTTACCCTGTTCTGGATTTAGGTTATGGATCATGTCATTGATATATTGCCTTCTCTTTATTTCCACTTTAACTATAATGAAGATGCAATTTTTAAAATTACAATTACTCACCAATTGTCTCTGAATCCTGAAATGATCACAGTTTTTTTAAATAGATATTCACAAGAGAAATTTATAACGCTCTTACATTTTACCACCGTATTTATTACCATAGACCGTACCTTGATATCAGAGTGGCAGCTTAATAATTGGAAGCAATGTCCTCGGTGTGTTATGTTTATGATGGTTGTTTTTTTTAAAAACAACAGAAAAGTATTTCTTGCATAGGTTGTCAAACAGAAATCTGTCCAGACCGTGTCATGAACCGTGTGACAACAAATATATTGACCTCAAGATATGAATTTCAAAGGATAAAATTAAAGACAATTCAACGTATTGCTTTGATGCAAATCGGCTATTACATTATGGGAAATATTTATATACGTTTGTACCTTTTCCAGAGGCAGTGCTAGGGCGTACCCAAAGCACAGAAGAGCTGCAATACGCCACATAGTTCTGGCAGGAGTGACAGGCCAACACTAACCCTACCCAGAAATGTGCCTGGTGTATATTTGAACTTGTTTCACATAGATTAGCATGGTATCGTGTTGATTAACACATTTATGATAAGACACTGGCGACATACTTATTATAAACTAGTGTCCAAAAGAAACGATACCAACTTATTTTCAAAATTGTTTTTTACTAAATGAATTGTCTAGTATGAAAACATGAAAACACAGCATAGTCGATAAAAAATACCGGGAACACGTGATCACTTCCGGGAAAAAACGTAAATTTCGTGAACGTGACCTTTCCCTCTCTAGCATGTTCTGCACGTGCATAAAAACTGTATAAAACGGCTGATCAGACACGTTGATATTACAGCAACAAAAAGAACACAAGATATGCCACGTTTGACAGCCATCGAGAGAGAGAGAGCCGTTGGAATGGTCCAACAAGGAGCGTCACACGTCGACGTCGCCAGATGGTTTGGCTGCGCACGCATCACTATCACCAGGTTGATGCAGCGGTTACGTCAGACAGGTCAGACGTCAGGCAGTCCAAGGAGTGGAAGACCACGAGTAACCACGCCCCGTGAAGTTCGTTACATCCGGGTATTACACCTGAGGAACCGCACCGTAACAGCGACGTCCACGGCGGCTACAGCACTGGGACACAGGATCAGTCGACAGACCGTCTACAGGAGACTACGGCAGTATGGTATCCGGCCACGTCATCCCTACCGCGGACCGCTCCTGACGCCTCGACACCGGAACAACAGACTGATCTGGGCCAGGCGAGTTCGACGTTGGCAACGGCGGGACTGGGCACGTGTTATGTTCTCTGATGAGAGCAGATTCCTCATCTTCAGAAACGATGGACGGCAGCTTGTATACCGACGATTTGGTGAACGTTTGGCGCCTAACTGTATCCAACAGGTGCGGCCGTTTGGAGGTGGAGGGTTAATGGTTTGGGGTGGCATATGTGGTGACGTCAAAACTATGCTTGTCGTAATTCGTGGAAACCTGAATGCACAGCGTTATCTTGATGACATCCTACGGCCTGTTGTGGTGCCCTTTATTCAGCAACAGCCTCGTGGACTCCTTTTCCAACATGACAATGCAAGGCCACACACAGCAAGATTGACACAGAACGTCCTTGCCAACGCCAACGTACAGGTTTTGCCATGGCCCGCATGTTCACCGGACATGAATCCCATCGAGCACTTATGGGACCACCTCGATCGGCAAATCCGACGTCGCCGTGTGCCTCAAGTCAACGTCCAGGACTTGGAACGATGTCTCCTCGAGGAATGGCAACGCATCACTCCCAATGTCATCAGACGTTTGACGTCATCAGTCCGTAGGAGTGGTCTGGCATGTATTGATGCTCACGGTGGACATACCCGCTACTGACTTGACTTTGAGACGTGTGGTGTGACATTTCCCGTTGTTTCTGTGATCAGTGCTCTAACGAAATGTTCATTTTTCGACCCCACCCATCTTTAAAGGCTTGTCATATTGGTTGTACAGATTTTATTGAAATGAAATTTTTGTACAGATGTTGTGAAAGGATTTCTCAAAAGCATAACACCAATCCTAAACTTCTGCATTGTTTAGTTTTTCTTTTATGTCGTTGCAAACAGGTGGTATCGTTTCTTTTGGACACTAGTTTATATAAGACATATGGATAAGATCAAGTGTTTTGCTTGCATCTTTTATTTTATGCCAGGTGTGAATATATATTTTGCTAACATATATATTGTATTCATATTTGAAAAAATACGTACTTTGGTAAAAGGTTTTATGTAGGCTAACTATAAATTATTAGTACTGAGGGTACATACACACTTGCGGAATCGACAAACAGCAAGCACTGAACGCTTAAAGAGATAGAAACGAATTGAAATCACCAAATCACAAATACATAGAACGTTTTCTTTTAATGATATCGCACAATCTGTTCGCATTTCGCGTGTAACACGAGTGTTTTTTCGATTGTTGGGATTGGCTATAGTGGCTGGAATGACAGAATCTCCTTCCCAACGTGTGCTCAGATTTCCTTATCCGGACAGGTGTAGGAGGGGACATCAGACAGTTTGGAGCCTGACATATCTAGGTTGTTATGCTTACGTGACACATATATTAGTATTGAGTCCAGTGTCTTGTTGATAATTGACTTCGACTCTGATGTACTCTTCTCCCTAATATATTGCTGTTTATGCGGAGGTTACCCCACCATATGCCACAATTAAACGTTGGGTGAAGGAATATCAGCGTGGGGGAGAGTTTTGAAGATGATCCCTGCACTGTTCAACCCACCGCCAGCATCACAAAGAAAACTCTGATGCCGTCCACAGCCTGGAACTCAACAATAGGCGCATTACATTCTAGATGGTTTAAGGCGGTCGGGTATATCGGTATATATATGTACTAAGAGCGAGGTCACAATGTCATCAAACGTCTGCCGGCGGGGCTAACGCAACAGGGTATTGCTGAGGCCATGATTGTGGACCGGGTGACCTGGTTGTGGATGCTCAGGACAGGATGACTCCTGCAACTTATATCATATTCTATATTATATTCCATTACCTTTGTGACACACTTTCATTTAGGCGGCATACATTATCTTCATGAGGTCAGAATCCGTACTTAGTCTCCTTGAGTGAAGATAATTCATGGGAGCGAACAGATGTTGAACAACATTTAATGATTCATCCCATTATTCGAGTAAAGTCACGATATGAGACTTCCATGTTTTATCTGATTTGTGTGAATGTGTTTTATTCGTGACTGTACATGGCCTTTTTGTTTTTGTGTCTTTTAAGAGGAGATACTGTTTGATGAAAGTCAATAGTGACTTTTGCCATGACACTAGAGGCCCAAAGTGAAACCTTATAATAGTAAATAAGAGCGACAAAACCTTTTCCATATTCATCAGAAATCTCTGCCAAAAGGCAGAGTAGGTTGTACGATTCCGACTATATCATGAGCATGTGTTTATGAATCACTATCGAATAGTGATGATGCCAGGTGTTCGCGAAAGGTAAGCGCATCCTGCGCAAATGGTGGCAACCGTCACAAACACATGCAAAGGCACGTCAATTGTGAACCTTGGGAAAAAAACACGGGAACATATGGTAGAAGTCACAATATGGAACAGCATCGGACATCACGTTTTCACTAGATAGGCAAATATGGAAATGTCCCTTACATGTCAACCATAATAAATGTTGAATGCTTTACTGGGGCCTTGAATGTTGTAACCGTGATCAAACAACTTCTGCGCAAGAGTCGTATGACGCTCTTTGAAATTGGGGTAGATAAGCCTGCTCGACTGTACCCCAAAAGTTGTGACCCTAAGGCTGGTGCTACTGGAATACATTGCTGATTATTTGAATGTTGAAGTTATCCCTCTTGTGGATTGTTTTTGTCACTCTGGATCGTTATTTATTGATCTAAATATGAAGCAGATTAGGCTGTTTCACTGGTCTATTCTATGTCTATTGAGGTGGGTAAATCGCTGGAAGGGAACTGCCTATCTGACCATTAGGGAAGAGAATTTATGGATGTCAACTTCTTTATTATGAGGAATACAACGTTTCGGAGTATATACTTACACCTTTTATTATCAAGTGAATAGATGCTACGAAGCAGAGAAAATATATATGTACATGTGAGAACAACAAAAGTCATAAGATAACAAAGTTCAAACTTAACAAGAGAAGCCAACAGTCATTTGGCGCTGAAAGGTGATTAGCAATGGACATGGAAGCCAGGACTTAAATTATCACAGCATCGGACATCGGGAGACGGGGTAATTAGCACTGATGGTGTCCTCCCAAAACGCCTACATGCCAAAACACATACAGCTTATAACAACAAAGTTCACAGTTGAATGCACACCTAATCCCCTGCCTGTTACCTTTGTCATTTTAGAGAATATTTATATACATTTTATTGTACTAATCAGTCAGATGATAATCACAATAAGTCACGAGTCAAGTTTCAATAGATGACCAACAGCATCCAAGTATGGGATGGATGTTGTTAATCCCTGGGCCAAATGTTCTTTTAAGCGGCACAAGCGATTCTCTACCCCGCGTTAGACTCGTTAGTCTCGTTTTCTACTCCTGGGCCCACTTGCACAAAGCGATCTTAGCGCTAAGATGATCGTAACTCCCATACCTTAACATAGGCTTACAATAGTCGTAGCGCTAAGATCGCTTTGTGCAAGTGGGCCCTGAGGGCAGCACCAAAGTCGATCTGCGAAATCTTGGCTCGATCAGCATGTTCTTCCTTCTTGATGACTTCAGTGAAGTGGCAGATGTTGGCCAGCTGGATAATTAGCACAGACTGGTGTCTCCTAATGTCGGTGGCTTCTTGTAGTTTTCTTTGCCGCCAGTTGTTGTTGGTGGACTGGACTTTGGTGGCTTCCCACAAGATGTAATGGTCTTGGTTCTCGAGAATGTGTTGGGAAATAGCTGATTTCAGGTCTAGTTTGTTCTAGGTCTGATGTTCATTTCCGAACACATCCGCAAGAACCAAGACAATACCATCACGTGGGACACTGCGGGTCTTCATTAACCCATGCTTGCCGTAAGAGGCGACTATGCTAGCCGTAAGAGGCGACTAACGGGATTGGGTGGTCAGGCTCGCTGACTTGGTGTAATGCATCTCATCGTATTCCAATTGCGTAGATCAATGATCATGAGATCAATCACTTGATTGTCTGGTCCAGGTTGATTATTTACAGACATATATAGTTTGAATAGTGCTGAGTGCGGCGTTAAACAACAAACATACGAACTTACGATTGAAAACTATGCCATTTAGCATTTAGCACCACTCGTCCGCTCCGTAATCTACAAGATCCCAAGAAGGAAATAAGGAAATAATGTGCCGATAATTTGCGAACGGCTATAGGCATCATACGTTAAATTCGCGAGTACGCAATGACAGCCTATGGGGTATTTGTTTTTTGGAGGATATGTGAGGTGTGGAAGTAGTACTGTAGGGATAACTACACTGGCGTCATGAGGATGAGTCAGATTTGAATCATATCTGCGTAGGTAGGTGTCTTGGGGA